CTAGAAAGCATGAAATTACTGACGTGAGATAAAGACAAACCTTTCAGCAACTTTAAAAGTGCGTTACTTATTTTTAGTGACGTAATTTTCGTCCGCGTACGAAGTATCAGCCAGTTAATCAATTTTACTGCAAAGGCAGACTTGTTTCGCAGGAGGAAAAATTCTTTGCTCTTGCTTTTTTTAAGTTCAAGAGTTTTATTAATACAATGCAGTGCAGTTTTTGCTGCCATCAGAGGCGGACGTCCTTGATCGCCGCGGTCCGATACCGTTAACTCTCGCCGCGAGACACACCGACACACACTGCCCGCGTGCCGCCGTCGGTCCGCATAGAAGCACAGTTCTTCCCTCTGCTGTCGTTTCGGATAAAAATGTCGCTTCCATCTTCAGGAAGAAACTGAATTCTGACCAGCGCGAGCACTAAAAAAGGCAGGGGGAATACATCAACACGGGAACATGTCGGGGAAAACGGGATCATCGACTGGGTGAAGGCTGGCTGTAATAGAGACTGGACAAATCTCTCCATCTAGATCGTTAATTTAGTTATTGGACGACGTTGCATCAAGTGTTGATGTCGTACTCGGCAAAGGGCCTCATTTCTGGAATTTATTTTTGATAATATCCACCAGCGTTTGACGTCGAATGTGGTGGAAGGACGCCTTGCTTTTACGAATATCGGCGTCACTTTGAATCGCTCGTCGGCGCGTGAGAAATTAGTATAATTCAGAACTACTTTCCCCTCGTGCGGGTGGAAATACAGAGCATTGAGGCGTTCGCGAACGCATATCTGAACGGTGATGAAGGATATGAAGTTCATTCATCCTCGCCTTGGCGTTTAAACTACGAGACGAAGTCTGAAGAACTCTGAATCAAATTTAAAATTGTATATCAATCAAGAATAGTTTCTGGACTATGCACGAGACGAAGTCTGAAGAATTCTGAATCAAATTTAAAATTGTTTATCAATCAAGAATAGTTTCTGGACTATAGAAATTGTGATGACGGCCGAAAAGTTTGGTTAAAACCGTATTTCGTATCAGATTGTCTCTAACTTGTGATGTATTTACTCCACTGTAGATTTGGCTTCGACACGTTTCAACGAGTCTAACTGCTTTTCGTATTCAGCGAGAATGTTACGTAATAAATACCATCGAAACTGAACGACACGCATTTTTGAAGTCTCTCAGTATCGCATACACACTATTATAATGTTCCCATTTTTTCTACATGTTGTTTTTGTAGCAAACGTTTCCCACAAATGAGTCCACGCGGCGTCAGAACATAACCTAACCCAATCCAACATAACCTGAACCAAAATAACCAAACCTAACCTAAAAAACCGAACCTAAACCAAAATAACCAATCCTAACCCAACCCAATCCAACATAACCTAACAAATTCGCCATCTTGATCACAGTGAGAGCCTCAGATCTCTCATACCTAGAAAGTTGTTGATCAGTTAAGTCGAAATCCACACTCTGGTTCACAGAGATGACCTTACGGAGGAATCGCGTATAAAATTCCGTATGCAGATTTTGTCATCACTAATATGCGTCGTTAACTGCTACGTGTAGTTTCGTCACCCTTTGTACGAATCGTAATAAATTGTGAACCCGGGAATTACGAGAAGACACAGCACTGGCCGCGAACAAGGTTTGCGGTCCATTTGCAGAATCACGGGCTTTATAATCTGCCTCTTCCCTGGTCACGTAGGAGTCAAATCAAAAAGAAGTTTTAACTTCACCAAAATCCATAATCTCCAGTTCTTGTTCGGGTGCAGTTAAACGCTTTGACTTGGTTGACGATCTCGGAGTTTTGGGTTGTGACGCCGTTTAAGTCTCCAGGGTCTTTGCGTCCGTGAGAACCTCACAACCTCAGCTCAGTTCTTGGGGCCCCTGTCCACCCCGCAGATGGATGGATCAGCGGCTAACCGCCTGTGTGGTTATTCGCCGTTCTGTCAGCAACAACAGCGAAAATTATAATTTCCCTCGATTCTTTCACGCTTTGTCGCACTACGGCGTTGCGACGCTGACCTGGGATCATATCGTCGAATCGTAGTGCGGGGATAACATTTCTGCCCGGGATTCGGTGTAAATACCGTTGGAATGTTCCCGTACTCAAAAGAGTACACCTTTCCTGTCTTGTCTGTGCGTCGGCTAACGAAGATAAATTGAATTGTACTCGTGGTCCAGGTGACAGCGGGCAGAAATGAGCAGAGTCGCTCTCTTTCTTTGTCACGAATCCGAAAGTCGTTCAGAAACACGCGAGGTATTTCATTCTGAGTCTCGTTCAGCAGCGAGAATTCGCCTGGGACCGGTTCTTTGCTGTTTCATGAAGAAGCCCGAAGTTAACTGTTGCCATAGACACATCGAAACTCCAGCTTATTCCTGACATTTTCGAATAATCTCCGTGTACAGTCTCCCTTGTTGCTGGTCGTATCAAAGTCGAGGTTAGAAAGATGTCTTCAAATTAGAACCTTTGCGGAATGGATTCAAAATATGGAACATTTTTCATCTCTTCCTATTTACTGACAAGTACTGATAAGGAAAAAAGCTTAAGAACACTTTAAAGTCTGATTTAATCCACTGTCACATTCTCGTAGGCATTTAAGAGTGAACTAGTTTACCATCAAACAGGCTACGACCATTTCGCTGACGTTTTACACAGATCAACCACAACAAAACAAACAAACAAACAGAGAAATGACATGCTAGAGCATCGCAGCTGTGAAAATCACGCGAAACGCTTGTTCCGGATTAAAACAGAAGACGTAAATCAGTTTTAAACACATCGGGGCGTGCCCCACCCACTGCACATTCAGCAAGTCATCTCAGCTGCCCACTTTGTAAGCGATAAATTGAATTAAAGTCTGCTACAGGTCGACTTGCGTCTCTTGAACGTTCTCCTAGGACAGCCGACAAGGGGTTGTTAACAGTTCCCTACTGTAAGAGACTTACGAAATGTTATACCGGGGTCTCGGACGGGATTTATTGAAACCGGGTTACTGGAAGTGTGTTTGGAATGTTGTCTTCTGTGGACCATCAGACGCGTGAGAGTCTCAGGTCTCGTATGTGATCGCTGTTCCGAAGTAAACTCGTTCATTACTTTGCCCTGAGCTTTGAAAAGCTGTTGTCCTCCCTTTTAATACCGAAAGTAAAAATATCTGTATGCAAATGAGATTCAGATTCAATCAGCCACCGACAATTCTCCAAATAAAGTCACGTGACACCATAAGATCATCGCCTGTGTTGTCGGAGGCCAGGCGAAATGATAACGCATCGCCATGGTTACTTAGGACCACGGAGGGTCATGACACTGCCACGAGATGGGTGGACAGGAAGTCGATAATGAATTAATAAACCTAAAACATCTGGCAAGAACCGTTTAGTGTAAATAACATTAACATGAATGCAGAATTAATACAAAGCTTTAACCTTCGTCCTCAGTGTAATCTGACTTTCTGCTTAGGCAGATTCTTCTGGGTTCTGATGTCACGTGGTATTGTGGGCGTAGATTCTGGGTAGTTATCAATGTTTGTACCCATGAGACGTTAGTAATGCCTGTAAGACTACACGGAACCACTGTCAGTTCTTATCGGCTGAGAAATGTGACGAGCGAAAATCGTTCGGGCTTCGTGTTCTAGATTTGCGTGAACTTGTCTCATGTTACTTCTTTCCAACAGCCGGTCCTATTCACTACGACCAGCGATCTCATGTTCCCACACATAGGCTGCACGAGTTCTGCTATCGAGGGATCGGACCGTGTGAAAAATCCGATTGGACGTAAGAAATATCGATGCTGGACCCACCAGCTACGTCACAAGCCCGTGTCTCTAAAATACGAACTTAACTCGTAATAAAATCATAATATTTAGAGTCTGAACCTCCCTCACTCACATCTGAGTCGTGATATTTTTCGTGTTCCAGAAAACCCAACTAATTAAATGACGCTGATCGTCTGAGGGAATTAAAAATCTTAACTACCCCGACGGACAAGTTGGAAGGCCCTTAGGACCTAAATGTGAGTTTAATGTAAATTTGTGATCTGATAAGTGAGAAATCGTAGTAGTTCGTACTTCACGCATCTGGACAGCGCGTTGCCAGTGCTCAAGACGATGGACCGAAACAAATGAGCTCTACGCGCCGCTGTTTCGTCGTGAGATGTCGTAACCTGCAGCCTAGTTACAGAATTATTATACCGTGACTGAACTGGTCCCTCTACCCGCTGAAGTTTGGAAATGCGACGCTGTGCTAACCTGCCCACAAAGAAAGCAACGGCGATTGCAGATTTCTATTCAAAAGCGAACGAATTTAATTCTCGTCTTCATTTATGATGCCTCATATTAATTGTCATGTCTTAAGTTTAATTACGTGATCAGGTGATATTTTCTGTGTATCCCTCGACTTCTACCTCGTCGGTTCGGCTGTTGTGACTGAAGAAAACCACGGCGCCTCCGTAGTTACACGTGATCCGTGCCACGGACACCGAGCGACATTTTTCAAGTTCGGGGCTCGCTTTTTAAACGACGTTTGTGACTTCCACAGATGATTGGAGTTTCAAATAACAACGCCGGTCACAATTTTCCAACTGCACAACGAAAACTTATAAATTTGTTTGAAAAATGAAGGTAGAGTTTTTGTAATTCACGGGTACAGGTCCCTGGGGGGGGGGGGGGGGCTGTCTGCAGTCGGATTATTTATCGCTTGAAGCGAAGTCTGTTAGTTCAGATTTCAATCAGCGACAAGTCGTGGGCTTTGTTAAGTGACAATGGAGCCTACTCTTTTAACTCTTGGCATTAAACCAGTCATGGCGGTCACAAAACTTCAGGAAATGTAGCGAAATTAATTCGTGCGTCAAACCTGAGTCAAGAGAGCAGGCAAATACTCTTTGCTGAAAACTGAAAATGCAGGGAGGAGACTGTGTCTCGTGGTTTTGAATCCTCCACCGAGTTTAAGTTGTGTCCTTGCAGATTTATTTGTTAAGCTGCGTTGGATTGTACTCACGTCTTGGAAAACCTCAGAGGTCATGCTTCCAGGCGGTCCTGAGAGGCAGAAGTCACTAGGACTACCAGTACATGACACTGAACTTGACATCGGCCCGGTAAAGCACCCGGGTCCTTCGGAACACAAGAGTCAGTCCACTTTTGGAGCAAGTGAGGCGAACACTCAGTACATGCACCCACTCGGAAGAACAAATCTGCACTCACTCGTGAAATGGACGTACGCTCGCGCGGTGAGCGCCGACTTCCCGCGTGTTGCGGTCACAGGCGACTGGTCGCTCCCATTGGACTGCAGGCGAGCAGGCGAGCAGGCCGGCCACACTCCTCCACCCCACCCCACCCCACCTCATTTCGAACATGGCTCTGTCCGTCCAACGATTTCGTATTCACCCAATCACTGCTGCAGAATGTCCAATGGGATATTACCCTCAAGGTAACTGTTCTGCTCGAGGTGAAACAGATGAGATAACATCTGAGCTGCAGGGATTTGAAAGGAGTAGTAGGCAGGCTGCTTGAACAAAAAAGGAACTAAAACAGCTGATCGAAGGAGTCTCCTACTGCTCTTGTGTGCGTGTGGGGTGGGGGTCGATTCTGGCATTGAAGTTGTTGTTTCAACACGTAATTAAGTGGGTTGGGAGAAGACTGCCTTCAGAACCTGAAAGCTTCGCTGTTATTGTGGCAATCCGTAGCGCCAGTGTCCGTCTGAAAGCCCCAGGCTTGAATTAAGCGTTCGGTAGACACAAACATTTTTTAAAAAGTCAGTAGAATCGTTTTTGTTTCAGTTACGAGCAAGGGATACGTGTCTTAAAATTAATTTGTAAAACCACGTGGAAAGGCAAGAATTAACTCAAATTCAAACTCTGCGTGTTCTTTAAGATGGGGCCCAGACCTCGCGAACGCATTTCGACGGAATAATGTTGTTTGTATGGGCAGTCTGCATTATATTGCATGTATTGGCGAGGCCCGAACTGGAATGAGCTGGCTTAACAGCCGCAGTGGTGCCTATGGGTGTCTGTCGAACGATCACAAATGAATCTGCGCACTGGCTCATGAACAGTCAGGTAGACGGACAGAGGAGTAGATGGGTAGGCAGGCTGAAAGGTGTGTAAAATGGTAGGTTCTGTACAGAGCTAGATAAAGAGGCCCAGGTTAGGTTATGTTATGTTATGTTGGGTTAGGTTTGGTTGGGTTAGGGTGGGTTGAGTTGGGTTAGGTTAGGTTATGTTATGTT